AAACAGTTCAAAACACAGTTTATGATAAATGATGATTGGAACTCACCCAATGCTGATATTTGTGGGTAGATCGTGAGAATTATGTCGCAGTTTGATTCTGCCATGATGATCGAGGGCTAACTTGCTGCTTAGTACGTGTATAGACAAGCACCCGACCAGGGCTTTTATTTTTAAAGGGAACTGAATTTTTCGGAAAGCTCTTTGTCAAGGAGCAGGCCTTTTGCGTCAATCGGAGAAAGAGAGATATTGTGGACTCAAGAGGCGATTAATTTGATCTGCGTTGACGTGTCAAACTGCCTGAAAATAATAAGAAAGTTTCGCTGAGGTAAGGATAATAAATTTTGACGAGAAAGCGAACGAGATGGTTCTTGTATTCAAAATCCCTGTGGATAAAGTTGATTAAAATCAAATAAGTGTATGGAAGAAAGTTATATTAAAAAACGCTCAATCATCAACGTATCATGGATAAATCGATTTTAGATACAATGGATCCCACAACACAACAGCCGTTGACCAAGTAACTATTCTCAAGTCAATTGAGGAACTCAATCGATTAAAAATATTTTAAGCACTATGGTACAAACAATAAATGATCACTAACAGATGCAAAGGAAACTAACGATATTTACACTGAGACAGAAAAGAAAAATTACTCTTTTTCATGAATTGTCCATAACAACGGCTTTTTGAAAACGAAATAGATAAAGTTCTCCTAAAGATGGCGAAACACTTGGCATTTTATTGGCGATCGGAGAGGATTAGATCGCCGGTGATAATCACAAATTTAATATCTAACATGTTTGAAATCGGCAACTTTGTACGCCGATTGCGGCGATTGGCTGAAATCGCCACCACCGATCGCCGCGATTGGCGTTCAAAATAGCCAAGTGTGTCACCAGCTTAAGCTTGGAGCGGCTGTACTCATAGTACTCAAAAACCAACTTTCACCCTTTGACTCCTACGATACTCACGCATGTGTTAAGCAAGGGATTAAAGTTTGAAATAGTGGGCGCAATCACTGGTGTTAGGAGAAAATCCCGCTAATTCCTCGTATAGATGGGGAACTGCAGCTTAGCTATTCAAATCAACTTTTTTTTTTTAATAATATTTCTTTCTTCTTGGACACTTATATTAAACAAAGACAAGAGGTTACACACGAACGATAAATTGAACCGTATCTTTTCACCTTCTTGAATTGAAATCTGTGACAATCTTCGCTGTTCTTGGTCAACCTTGTCTTTTTGTCACTCGTACCTTTTTCAAAATTTCTCTACCCAAGCTATTTCATGATCGAGATTTTCATCTTTTAAAGGACGACTCTCTTTGGAACTACAATGACTTAAAAGATATGACGAGGCTTTTTAAGAAAAGACAACATGACATTTGACGCAAAATTCCCTACCAGAAATAAAACCTTTGAAATGAAACGGACTAGAGTCGGACCACAATGCTGAGAAAGTTTCAAAATAAATAGATTTATAGCAGTTCCCAAATTATAATGCACCTAAGTTCATTTTCGTACATCGACCTAATGTCAGAAAATCTTTTTCATATTACTTCTATTAACAGAAATTTTGGAGAAATTTTATGCTGCCATTTTCGAGATAAAAGAATCTACCTTCGAGTTAATGTCCACGAAATGTAATATTAAAAATAGTCTGATCTTAATTTGCTAAACTATTGCACTTCATTGATAGACGGAACCGTTTTCAAACTAAACACAGCAGGTAAAATCATATTTAAAATTCATCCAACGAATACCGGATTTAGAGCTTTTTTCGTAAGCAGTGTAATAGCGCGGCTGATAAATCAACGATAAACTGAGAGGTATCATCATCATTAAACTGCTAAGACTGATTGGTTGAGATTCGCTTCGGAAGTCTTTTTTAACTTATTTTCAATGCTTTTGGTGATCATTAAGAAAACACCTTGTTTAGGGAAAGAGAAGTATTGTAAGTGTCAAAATAGATTAAACTAAAAATTATGAGTTGTTCAGTCGAGCAGTTACGTTGAGGGACCTACAAAATGCAGGGCAGCCACGTCAACCACAAGGCAGCATGTAACGGGAAAATTTTAGTGATTTTTCGACGTCTGTTTTGGAGAATTTTTATTAATTAATTTTTCGATATTTAAGCTTCTCCGTTCATTCGAGTTTCCTTCACTGGGATATTTTAAAAGATAAAGGCCAACAGTAAGCTCCTTCAGCTACCAACTAGCACATATCGCTTTGTACTCGCCGCCTTAGCCGGTACACCTCTAGATCGGTCCTTTTGTGATCTCATTCTAGGTGGACATTTTGATGTAAATATTCCTGGTAATAAACTTTTCTGGTAAAATACTTCTCAGGGAAGTTGTCAGCTGAATTTGCGTCCGTTATTAAGTTCTTCTCATAACATTAAAGAGACATTTTCCGCTTTTTGTGTCCTTATTCAAATGCTACAATTTGTGTGATAATAGAACTTCACACATTTCGTCCGCAAGAGTTGAGGACGAAAAAGGTATCGTCACTAGTGTAAAAAATTAAAAAAAACTAAAATGACTTGTTGTAAAATTGAGTTTTAGCGTTGAGGGACCAACAACCTGCAAAGCAGCCATGTCAACCACAAGGCTCCGCAGTACACAAAGTTAAAGAGCCACGCTCAACCAAGATGTATTGCGGGAGTGGTGGCCTCTCTCACTACTTTCCGTATAAGAGAAAAGGAAAACCTTCCGTTTGTGCAATATTACTCGACTAGATCTTTGCAATCTTAAACGAGAACCGGCTTCTTATACCTCAGTTCATCTAGTTTTTTCATTTGCCTATCGTCTCTTTACTATGTATTTTTGACGTTTCATTCCGCGTTCGTTATAGTGAAGCAATCGAAAAAAGACCGTCCCACACGACGAAAAGCCACCGTATTACATGGAAGACTAGATCAATTCAAAACCAAGGAATGAGCGAAATGAAGCTTTGGGATTTGGCAAGAAAACGAGCATAGAGTTTGCAGAAGCCCTGCTACACAGCATTTTAGGGGAAAGTCAAATAGAAATCTCCTCTCAGTCTCCTGGGTGACCAACGGACCAGGGTACGATTACTTTCAAGCTTTAATCCCAAGTAAGGTTTTTTAGTAACCTTTCACTCGAGGTGAGTCAAGTTTTGAGATACATTTTTCTAAAATATAGTCTTGAAATCGCAGATTCTTTGTGCACATTTTGAAACAGTTTTAGTTTTTATTGAACATGGAGCGTGACGAATTTATTTATGGAGCCGTTGCCTTTCTCCTTTTACGAATCCTTTCTTCGCGCCGCCTGATGAATGACATGAACAAAAAATCAAGTTTTCGAAGGTCTTCGTCTCTTTGTAATGCGTTTGGACGTAAAGGATCGATACCCTGTTAAACATCCCCCCTTCGTACACTTTTGTATTTAAGAACATGATTTCTAAGTCTGATATTTAAACCGTGAATAGTGATTGTATCGTGGTACATGTACAGAATCAAGTTAATTTAATGTTTTGACAGAATGTAGCTGTTTACCCGTCTTACAAATTATTTTATGTCTCTGATTCTGTTCCACAGACAGAAAAGGTCGTCAATATACCTCCTCCAAAGTAGCGTTTTAGTTATTCTCTGAGTAATAATACCCTTTTTCTATTTTTGCCATGAAAATTTTGGCAAAAGTGGTATTCTTTGCCATTCCAGTTCGGTTTGTGAGAAAAAGTTTTGAGTTCCTGGATTATTCTTCTATTTTGTTTTTGATTCTGTTCCACAGGCAGAAAACGTCTTCAAAATATTTCCTCCATAAAGGGATTTAGTTTTGCTTTGAGTGGTGATTCGCTATTCATATTTTTGGAATGAAAATATCGTCAAAATATATTGTCGTTGTGGTATTCTTCGTAGTTTCCGTTCGGTGTGGGAGAAAAAGTATAGAGTTCCCCGATAACCAATGAAAATGGCGCGCAAAGCAAACTGGTTGAGCGCGGCCCTATAAAAAGAATTGAAATACTCATATGTGAAGAAAAATAATGAGGGAGATGAGTTATAGGTTTGGTTAGTTAATATTAAAAGCGGTTGGTAGTGAAAGAAATAGATAAGATATGTGTAATGAGCTGAAAAATTGGAGCTTGACTGAATTGTTCCATTGATGTTAGTAAGGGATAGTTGGGGTGGTTTTGATTGAAATTAAATGCAGAAATAAAAATAGTTAGAGGATGAATCGAGCACAGACGTGGACTAATAAACTGCGAGATGTTCTCAGACATTTTGTGTTCGGCATAGCCGCTAAAGTTGTAGAAGTTGCGGTAGTTGTGGTAGATCGTAAATGTTTCGTCGAAAGAATTCGTCGTTGTAGTTGTTTTTTTCGCTCGTCGTGTCAAAGTCCTGATAGTCGTGGTTGTAGGACGTATTTCAATATTTGCTTTGCCCAAAAAAACCACGAATGCACTACGTCACCTACTAATAAGGGTCCAGAATAGCATACCGCCCAAAATCGGAAAGCGTTCGAATTTTGGCAAATGGAAAAAGTCCAATCGAAACTCGGAAGAAGGTATAGTCTGGATTTTGAAGCTGTAACCATTTGATGGATAATCAGAGATAGAATGACTCCATTATCAAACCAACACCAACATCAGATACAGCAACACTCAGTAGCAATATTTTCAAAGGTTGTGGCACCGAAGAGAAATGTTCATCATCATAGCAGTGTAGCAAATAAAACTGATCAAAACGTAGTTTACGATGAATGTTAACTGGAAATCATTCGATTCTGATATCTGTGGGTAAATCCTGAGAACTATGTCGCAGTGTGACTCTGCCATGATGATCCAGCGCTAGACTGCTGCTTAGTACATGCTGGGACAGGGACCAGGGCTTTTAACGCTCGACCTGTGACGGCTTTACCGGCTATGAACAATATCTTCGAAAAGATTCTTGCATCGCAGTTAACACTTTCAAGGTATTCTATCGGATTTTTTGTCAGCTTACCGAAAACATCATAGCTGTCACACAACACTGTTGCGCCTCATGGAGGATCAGAAGAAAAGTCTTGATGATGGAAAACTTGTTGCCATGGGGAAAATGGATCTATCTAAGGCATTTGATAGTCTTCCTCACTCGCTGCTAATAAGCAAGCCTCGGGCATATGGTCTAAACAACTGTAGCTGCGCGCTTTTACAGGACTATCTTACAGGGAGATCTCAGAGGGTGAAGGTTGGTGATGAATTGTCATGCTGCGAGTTAAATCTACGAGGTGTACCCCAGGGTAGTGTCCTTGGACCGCTGTGCTTCAACATCTTTCTTAATGACTCATCATACTTTATTTCGCGTGTGAGCCTCAATGCAGATGCAGACGTTCAGCAGCTGTATGGCGCGGATAGTGATCACGCGGACAGTGATCACGCGGACAGTGATCACGCGGACAGTGATCACGCGGAAAGTGATCACGCGGAAAGTGATCACGCGGACAGTGATCATACGGCCTTGTATGCAAGTCTAGACCACGAGTTAAAGGAGGCAATACAGTGGTTCAGCAAGAATGGCTTGATGGCTAGTCATAGCAAATTTCAACTGTTGGTGTTAGGTAGTACTGAGCAGGACTTTTCTTTCAATATTGCTGGACAACAAATAAAGAAGTGTGGTGATGTTGACCTTTTAGGGGTTAATATAGATTACAAACTCTGTTTTGACAAGCACATCTCATCTATTTGTAGCAAGGTTAACAAAAAATTATCCGTTGTGATAAGATTTAAGCATCTTATCGGTGAAAATATCTAGCGAAGGTGATATAATGCCTTTATTTTACCTGCTCTTAATTATTGTAGTGACGTTTGGGACTTTTGTAGCAAACGTTGTAAAGACAAATTGGAACAACTCAATAAGCAGGCTTCAAGGACGGTTCTGAATAGCAATCTTGACTATGAAACCGTTTACTTAGAATCATGGGGTCTGTGAATCTTTAAGCTTCTCGTATTCAGAACATGCTAGTCACTACGTATAAGACTCTTTATGGAACTGCACCATATCTCGGATCGCTACTGGAGGAACGAAAAATGGCTTATAACCTCAGAGGTACCCTAAAATTGAGTCTGCCAAGAGTTACTACAAGCTCCTATGGATTATAATCGTTCAGATATGCTGCTCCTCAAACATGGAACGCGCTGCCTGATAACATAAGAAGTTCTAAATCTCTCACTACTTTTAAGCCCGCTATTCGTAATACTACTGTGTAGATGAGACTAAAGACAATGATATATATGCGTGTGCGTAGTAATTTTATATATATCACAGTCTAATACCTTTTTGGAATGCCAAAAAAGAATCTGGAATGAACTAACTAGTACAAAATTCGCCAATCAGCTAACTTTTAACTTGTTGAGTATGCTTATCATACTCAAATAGTAAAAACTGTCCAATCATCAATCCGTAATGTCACGGACAGCTCATCAAAAACAAACTTATTCAGTACACAGTTATACTGAATGAGTTTGAAATTTTACTGGATGAGTTTGAATTTATAATTTAAATTTGCAGACAGCTAGTCAGTTTTAAGGCCCGTTTAAAAGGTTTCAACATTTGCTTCAGCATGAATTCAACAATTTGATGAACCTAATTTTCGGTGCGTTTTTTCAACATTGTTGAAAACGTAAAAAATGTTGAAAGCTGTTGAAAGCGTGTTGAATCAAGTTTAAATCGATTTAAACTTTCATTCAACATCAATTCAACTTTTCCTTTGTAAGGCCTCTGTAAGACTTTTGTACAGTGTAAGGCTTTGAAAAAGGCCGCCGCACAATTTTGTTTTTGTGTTCAATATTTGCCCAACATCCGTTCAACTTTAGTCGAACGAATGTTGGTGAAATGTTGAAAACGTTTATACGGGCCTTAGGGACCTTTCGCAGTCGGCAACGCGACGTACGGAAGATGTCGAGTAAAAAATGGATTCATATATTTAGGGCCTATCCGCACTAGCAGGCAAACCTAGAATTGTCCCGACAAAATTAAAGGTCAAATTTTGTCTTGAAAAATTTTTGTCTCTTCTGTTACACCCGCACTACTGGAAATATCGAGGCTGCTAAAATTCAGTTAAGGTGGCTGGTACCAGCTTCCTCGCGCGGGGAACAGGTCACTGCTGCGTGACGCGCGAGAGAAACATGCGAAAGAAGCGCGAGATCAAATGATGAAAATTCAAAAACAAAGATGGCGGCGCGTAGATTCTTTTTTTTTTAGTTTTGTGAGAAGTTTACCTAAGAGCGTGTATTTGATGTGTTGAGCGGCCACTGTGAATGCAGGAGATAGAAAATAAGACAAAGAAGACGATTTTCGGAGAAGTAAGGGTTGCTTCACTTCATATCTAGAAGAAATATTCAACCGATTTGAAATCTTTCGACGGCGAAAAAAGAAGAACTCAAGTAAACGATAATCTACCTGAAGTGAAAGAAGACTTTCAAACTTCAAGGAAAATTATTTGATGTAGCCAGAAGTCGTGTGTAGGATTTTTAAGATGTGCCCGGGAGGCTGTCTTTGACAGCTGTTTAATGATTTTCTTAGCAGTAAAGGCGAATTTACGTATGTAAATATCAGATCGTAGGCGCTCGCGCGAGCACACGCAATTGTCAGCGGTAGCTATAACAGATCATGAGCAAATTTCGATCTTATAGAATCTATTTTTTTAAATGCGCGAGAACGCGCGTGGAAATTGCTAAACTCACGAAAGCTATGGCATGAAAACAAGTCCGATGACCCCTTCTTTTTATTGTTCCAATATGATAATAACGTCGAAAGGAATCATCAGAAAAAAAACTAGAAAGTTCTGTGGAAGGAAATTTGCGAGGTGTGAAAATTGCCTTTTTTCTAGATTTTCTGAAATTCCGCTCCGTATAATTTTTTTTAAATCTTTGTTCATTTTCCTTTACAAGAGCCAAATGCAATCACTGAAAAAAAATACGTGGTCACCGGATTAGTTTTGGAACTATTTAAGCCACAAGCTAAAAAATGCGTCTGAATAAGCCTATGATAGCGTTGCCATGGAAACTGCTAGTGACGAAATGACACCTATTTTTGGATAACCAGTTATTATAAAATTCAACCCTGTAAAAGTGTTCAACTGGCCTTGGTCAGTCTTTTTGTTGTATTCTTTCAAAGTTACAAACCATCAAAAAGATGAAAACTGGTACCAGCCACCTCAATAACCAAAAATAACACCGATACTGTTCCTTTCCCTTTGCTTTGAGTGGGCACTTCTGGATCTTGTGCCACATCTGTTGCTTTATTGTTGGACTGATTAATTGGAAAATAGCTTCACCGCTGTATATTACCTCGGCCGTATCCAGCGCCTCACCTGCTCAAAATTTGCCTATGGATTCAAACACTAATTATCAGGATTCATCTTGAGTCGTTTGAATTTGCAAAATGCGCGAGTTTCGCAACGAAAGACAATTACTGCAATCTTTGGTAAACTGAACTCAGTTCAGTTACCGCACTGGTAAGGATCGACAAGTTTTCCACAATTTTGTTTGTTTAGTCGATTTTGTCAAGGTTTTACCCGGGACAAATTTTATCGGCGGTGCGTTTGAAAATTTGTCAAGTCGCAACAAACCATCCGCACTTGTGAAATGTTGGTTATAACAGAAACTGTCTAAGGCCCTGTTCGCACTACAACGAAAAATTTGCTCGGGTATTTGCAAAAAATTGAAAATTTTGAAACGACGAATTATTTGATTTCGCAATAGCGCTCGCATCTGAGACGTGCGTAACCACAAATGTACAAATGTCAATCAATTGAAATAGATATCGAGACTTCGTGAGAGTGCGGTTTCTGTCATGTCGTTTCTGGTCAAGGACTGATCGCAAAGTAAACTAAATGCCCCTGCGATATGTTTCAATCGCCCTTTTTTGCTGTTTGCTTGCCATGCAAAACCTGAGTGTGACTGGTCAACAATAACTTCTGGTTTTGTTTGAAAAATTAAAATGGTTTCGCATTGAGATTTTTTTTCGCAAAACAAACAAAATTTCGCATATTGCGAACACAGGGCCCTTAATAAACAATTTTCTCGCTAGTGCGGTAGGCCCTTCGTTAGAATTTCGCGAATGGCTGGATTTGTTTACTGTTTCTTGCTGCGCTTCACTTCAACTTCAGCACAACATATGTGAGCCGCCTTGGATTCCAAATGGAAACTTAGCTAATTTTGCCGTTGGGCTTTTTGTTCAAAGACCACGCAAATCAAAAGTTGTCTGTAAAGGAGGAGAGCTGAGAAATGTTCAAAGTTTTCAAAGGCACTCGCTGAGCTATTTTCTGCCCATAAGATCTTTTGATTTGCCACGTCCTCGTCACCGTTACCGTCGTGGTTACCTAATTTTTACACTGTCAACCAAAATGTCTCTTTCTTAATTTAGCGTAATTGTTTTGTTATCAAAACAAACAAAAAAGTCCTACTGTGGTACAAGTTATTAGCATTTTGGCGCAATTTCCTATGGATGCTCAAAATGTTATAATTTCTAAATATCTACTAGTTACTTATACAACCCCTTGATGGTAAACTTCAGAGCAATGAGGTGGATTCAAAAACGAAAGTTAGCAGACAACGTGTATACAACAGCCAAAAATGACACCGATACTATCAGTCATTGTAATTTATTCAATGAAGCTTTATCTTCCCTTTGCCTCACAAGCGACGAATATTAATTTCCAGCTGCATGAACTAAAACAGAATTTTTACAGATGACATTTCACCGATAGAGATCAATTTTGAATTGAATACTGCACTAGTTTACCGGTCTCAATTCGTCATGAGGAACGAGAACGCCGGAATCCATGTAGATTGCATTAAAAAATTGATTTAAATGCAGCCGTAAAACGCACCACACGAGCTTTATATTTCATGTTAGCACAAACAGTCAACTAAGCCAACACAGACATCTGCAAGCAAACATGCATTAGTAAGGTTAAAAATTGAAATCAGCTCCCCTTTTACTTATTTAATCGAGGTTGCCTTATTTACCGAGTTGTGGATTTCGAGTTGGATTTCGAGTCGGATTTGGAGTTGGATTTCGAGTTGGATTTTCGAGTTGGGTTTTCGAGTTAGGATTTTCGAGTTAGGATTTTTTGGCGGGATTTTTTTGGTGTTAAATGGGGTTGACAGGCCTACACGACTCCCAACGCGTGTTTTGAATAGCCTATTCAAAGTTTGGCCCTCACGAGTAAGTCTTTCAGCGACCGCCCTCTTTTGTAAAATAATAAAGATGGATTTTTATGTAGTTCGCTAAGTAGTGGTTGTTTTTCTATTAAATGCCAGTTTTTCATGAGTATTTGCTTTTGGTTTGGTACTGATGGTTGATATTGTGTAACAAAAGGCAAGATTCATATGAATGAATACAATGAAATTTATGAACTTCATATATTTCATTGTATCTCAAAAGGCAAGATTCGTTGGTTCGTCTTCAGTTTGTGTTGAAGAGCTAATTTCCTGTTTTTGAAACTCGCCTCTGAGAGGGTTGTGTTAATGAGGTCCTCTGGGTAGCCTCCCTTTACCAAATGCACTTTGAAATCTGCAATTTTCTCCTGGAATATCGTTTGAGAGGAGTTTGTTCTGAGAAGTTTAAAGACCTCCCCATTTTATGAAGCCTTTTTGCAGAAAACAAAACAGTTACTGGGGATTGGGGAACATGGAAAGCACTGTAAAGCAGCATTGGTACCATTTGTCGGTCTTCAAGATATGGTGGTATTACAGGATTTATATATTTGCCTTTTGTTGTGTCTGATTCTTAACGCGGATTTCTAA